GAATTCAGCTTTCATACGCTGGTGCGTGAAATTTTTAATTGTTTTCCAATTTTTGAAAGACTAAAGCACAAAGCAGTGAAAGTCATTAACAGGCAATCGTTCGATCGGCTGAATTGCACAAAACGCATGATCGCACCGGCTAGTCTGGTGCGCATTGCCATTTATTACTTAAACAGCAATTTCAAAGAAACAAAATGCTTCTGTTAAAATGATTTTATGTTCATAATAATTCAACTTTTATAAAAACCAACAGATTTCATCATTTCCCCTTTCCATTTTTATTCTACAAAATAATCTTTGTTTTGCATGAATATATGCTTGTAGGTTACAGATGTTGTAACAACTTCGTGTTTCTAGTCGATAAGGTACCTTACCACTGTGATCTAGCAAACGACAGCGCCCGAGACGCAGTGGAAACTTTTAACACGCCTTGGGGATATTTCAAAACGGCTAAAGCCTAGTAAAGTACCTCCTACTGGGAGTGTCGCTAAGGTGGCAATTTTATTAAAAGATCAAACGAACATCAGAACTGGCAGAGGGCTGATCGCAGGACGGTGCAACTGGAAAAACTGTAAACAGCAGATTCTGGAGTACCAGTGAATCACAGATGATCCAAGCAAACAAATGTTTCATTCATAAACACTTCATATTTTTATCATTTTAACATGTGAAAAAACTTCCCTTTTATCGTTCTTGCGCATTTTCTGAGGGGAAATTATCGGTGTTGAAAACGCAGATGGCAAAGTAACTTCAATTCTTACCTCTTTTTCCATGAATTTCTGATTGCAGTATACGTAGAGGTCAATTTGCGCACTATTGTATGACAGCTTTTTGATGTTTTCAAAAAATTCGCGAATAAAAGGAGTCGGCTTGGAAAGAAAGATTGAAAGTAATAATTTTGGTAGATCCATTTCCTTCGCACTCTAAAAATACAGCTTTTTTTTTTTAAAATAAATGCAGATCTGCATAAATTACTAAATCTTATTTTCAAATGACACCAAAATGTCAATGCGCAAAAAAGGACTATATAAATAGCGGCGCATCGTAACAGGATAATCATTATGCACTCGCGCAGTTCCGTCCAGCGAACGTTTGCTGTTAAGAATGTTCAGTGGTTTACAGTTGGTGTGGGCAAAAATAGCCGTAGCGCTTATTTGGTCTCAGTACCATGAAATTTCCTATCAAAAAATCCTCGTGCCCATACGTGAAACGTAAGCCTTCGTGAGAGTAGGACCTGAATCTGTAGGACTGTACGTAAACAGAAAATACTGTGCAGTGATTTTAACTTTTTGTTTTGGCTGATTTTTAAACTAAAAATTTCCCAAGTAAAACTTCATGTATGCATACGTAGAGTAATTGGAAAATGTGTTTGAAATTTTGAGAATGCGCATCAATGTGAAGCATAATCTCATATTTTTAGCTTTCCATCTTGTTCTGTTCCTGAGGCAGAAAACCTCCGACAAAACCCTCAAGTATTTGTGCGGGAGACCTGGGCAAACAAAGAAGTAAAAACGGCGGGGCGTTAAAAGACCGGAGCGAACACATGGCTTTTCGTAATTTTATTTCAGCAGATGTTTCCTCCAAAACAATTCAGGGATAAAGTCAACACGTGGAAGCACCCCAGTAAAACCAATATCGAATTCGCACACCAATCATCCTGGCGGCGTAGGCAATCCTGATATTCGCTATCAATACGGGATTTGAAAATGCATTACTGCACATTGCAGCTGACAACCGAATCGTAGAATGAGAGGATGTGGATGCAAAAAGTTCTCTTTCAGCAATTTGAATTTGTGCATAATCGATGGTCATATTGCAAAAACTTCAGATTCTTTGTTTCCCTGGTAGCAGAGTTGAAAACAGTATGAGATCGACGAACACACAGACAAGATTTCAATACGAAGCTTTTCTGCATTTAGATGAAAGTCAAAAAATATCGGAAAAAAGAAGCATTTTTTATGCATAACAAATTTCTTCAAATAAAGCTCAATTTGAAAATAGCATTGGCAGGAAGTACCTCAGTTACCGCGCTGCACATTCGGCAAGGAAAATCCGCTCTTCTCAACTGACCAATGTAATTACCAAACTGATTCAAATGTAGCTTGCTAGGCCCATTACCATGCACAACTGATGGATAGGTATCGTAAATGAAATTATGAATCTGAAATGGCGGTGAAAAATATTAAATTTTCACAAAAATCTCCGCTTCATCGGTTTCTCATTTTCTTAGAAAAGCAGCAATTCTTTTGAGACAGAGCGAAAAATAACCCTTTGAAATTAATGTCATTTTTAATGAGAATGAGCGTCTCACCTGGTATGCTTTAGTTTCATCGCTCAGTTGCAAATGGACGTCGTCAGTGGCCCCATTTAAATTTTGAAAAAGTACACCCAACGAGTCCAACGTTATTTTTAACGAATCCTTTAATAAACAAATATTATGCATATTCAATGGCAAATAATGAGTAATGCGCAGTGGTGAGTGGTGCTACCGAAGATAAAGATTGAAGTCCGGTTCCGTTGGTTTTTTAGTCGGATCCATTTGATCCGACCAAAAAAACTGGTGATGGATACGCCTGGTAATCCAAATCGCCGCCAGCTTGCTTATAAGCAACTACGGGAAGAGGCAGTCACCGGCCGGTGGGAACCGCTGCCTCCGCCGTATCGAGAACAAATGCAGAGGGAGTTCTGAGTTCTTGCTCGGAATGTCCTCGGACTGCTTTTTACAAGACCTCGAGTATAGGCAAACTTCTATACCCTGGCAATTTCCTGACACACCTTCCACTGGATGTGGCCACTGCGAAGAAGCGCGGAGGGATCGAGACCGTATGAGTTTATAAGTAACGGAAGAAACGGGATGCGTCCAAACAATTCGCTTTGGAGGGACGAAAAAACAATGTAAAGGGATATCTAACATTGGAGTCAGCAGCAAGCCGGTGCAGTTTCAGCTGTAGCAGGTACGGTCAGACT